TATATATATATATATATATATATAGAGAGAGAGAGAGAGAGAGAGAGAGAGAGGTTTTATTTAATATTTATTTTATTTATATAATTTTTTTTTATTTTAGAAACTTGTTTGATATCTAATGAGAGCAAGCAAGGAAGGATGTGCATTTTTGTCCTGAGGAGGTGAGAAGGAGATGTGGGAGGATTTGAAGAGTCAGAGGAAAGGCAATCATAATTAGAATATGTTGTATGAAAAATGTCTTTCCAATAAAACAATTGCATTGCTTCAGAAGACTTCAAATTACTTTATATTCTATGTTTTCACTTATTTAGGGATTTTTGAGACATGTTCTTTCTCAAGCTGACCTTGAACTTGTTATGTAGTCCAGGCTAGCATTGAATTTACAGTCTTCCTGCCTCTGCCTCTCTAGTGCTGTGATTACAGGTATTCGAGACCATGCCTTGCTCTAATTTAAAAGTTTAATGATCAAAAATAAGTATTAGGTCTTCATCAGAATAAGACACAACAAAGTTAACAGTACAACACACCAAAGCTGTACTTTAAAACCTAAGTATTCTTTGTTTTGAAAGCTGGACCATAATATTTAGGATAAAGATTTTATTTCTGTATTTTTCTTGTAGGGAATAGCTATGTGTTAAATTCTGGACAACAAGAAATAACAGAAGTAGTATATAAATCTTCTAGAAAATATCAAGGCCTTTTAATAATAATAGGAGTAACTCTTTGGGATATCAGAGGAGGTTTCAGAGATGGCGACTAAGCGATGGAAATAAATGGTTTACAGAATTTTATGCCATACAAATAGCTAGGGACTCTGAGAAGTACTTGTATAAAAGTGAAACCCCCATGCTTGTTCCTTTGTTTCATATCCTGAAGGAGACTGTTTTGTTTATAATGAGTGGTCTAGTGATGGCACACTCCACAGACACAAACTTAGTTCTGTCCTTCACTTGAAACCTGTACCAAGAGTCCTCCCTCCATCCCTCTCTGATTAATGACAATGAGGAGAGTAAATTCTAAGAAGGCTCTAGCTGAAAGTCACAGGAAAGCTTTCTCAGATGGTCTAATCAATAAGGACACACATATTTCATAAAAGAAAGTCTAGAGATCAGTGGACCCACTATGTGTCAAATCAACAGCACACCATTTGGGGTTCCACATGAAACTCCTGTGATCAACTTTGCTTTTCTCTCAGTCCATCAGGATGGCTATAGTCACCCTCAGCATCAGGAACCCCTCTAAGAGTGTCTGGAGCTTGTAACAGGAACACTGTCCCAGAAAGCCCACCATTCTCCCCTTTAAATTCCTAACCAAGGTTGCCTTGTCAACAACCAATGACAAGAACAGTAGGATTATCCTAAATGGTTTAGGCCAACTTTACCCTGGACACTCAAGAAAAGCTTGAAGTTGCCAAGAACTTTCAAAACCTGTTTTCAGTTAGCAACAGAATTAAAATAGAAGATCAAGAGGTGTAATGCACAAAGTCTTTTCAAAAAATGCTGATATGAATACTAGAAATAGGTTTATTAAAATGTCTTCTAAAAGAATCTAATGAACATTTTTCCAAAACATAGGTAATGGAAACACACCCATATATGGACTGGAAAATTATGCGTGTATGTATTTAACAATGAATGTAAATAAAATGTTCCATACTGTACAAAATACATTATAGCATAATAGATAAAGATGAATAATTATCTATGAGTATAGTAGTAATTTTTATAATATTCATATAATGGAAAACAGAATCTCAATGCCAATTTAGGTAGGTTCCTTTGTAAATGCCTGTAAATAAATGTGTACTTTTTACAAATGTTAATGCTATCATTTCCTCTCTGGAAAGGACAAACAATTCATGTAAAAATGTTCAGCTAAGTGACATTTTATGGGTGCTGTCCTTGGCAGGCCCCAAGGCTGTCCCTCTGGGAGCCATGCTGGGCCAGGCATGCACTTACAGCCCTTAAGTGCTCAGTTCCAGCAGGGAGACATCAATGCTCAGAATAATTACATTTTATACAATAATAAGTACAAGGTGATCTACCAAAACATTTAAGGATTAACATGTTACAAAGGCTCTCCTCCAGTTGTTAACAATAAAAATAAAATGTGCTTTTATGAAGATTTACTTTTACTTGAAATCCTTTTTAATTCTGCAGTTTTCATATCCAAAAGATGTCTTAGAGAAAAATGTATTCACTATTGTCAGCTGGCAAACGACTAAGGGGGAGGGAAGAAATTCCCAACCTCCTTTACAGGCACAGAGTTAGTGGGTAGAAGTGTAGAGCACACACCAAGGCGTAATCTAATCAGTTCACACTCCCTAGTGGAGTGAGCTCCACTTTGATTCATGAACAAAGGCAGTGCTAATGTTGAAGGAGATGGAAGGTAAACAGTGCTGTATTAAAAAAATAGATCTATTTATTTTATTTGTGTGTATGTTGTCTGCATGTATGTCTGTGCACTGTATGTATGCCTGGTGTCCTCAGATCCCCCAGAACTGGAATTATAGATGGCCATGAACTGTCTTACAGGTTCTGGGATTGAACCTGGGACCTCTGTAAGAGCAAGTGCTCCTAACCACTGACCCATCGCTCTAGACCCAGGACATTAAAATTGTCACCCTGCCACCACTTATTTACAGCAGACAATTATCCATAATTGTCCAAACTTGCAAATTATGTCATTCAGGAGATACATGATGATCTATCCAAACAATGGGCTCTTATTCATCAAGAGAAAGATTGGAGTTGTCAAGTTTTGAATATACACTGAAATGCATAGTACTGAGTAAAAAAAGCCATCTAGAAAAGCTACTTCTTAAAACTTCTGCAACATCTACAATAGCTTTTCTCTTGTAGAAAAGATAAAACCATGAACATAAGGTATCAGGGTCTAGAGAGAGGGAAATATGTACAGGAAGAGCTCAAGGATTTTCAAGGGGGGAAGTATTATGTATGATGACATTGTAGTGGTGGATATCTGTCCACACCCTTAGAATGCACAGCACCAAGAGTGGGTGAACTTTGGGTGATCATGACATGCCAGTATGGGTTCATGAATTGCAAAAACAAATGTCACTCTGGTGGGGGTCACTGGTGATAGAGGGAATTATGCATTTGTGGGGCAGCAGGCACATCTCTCATTTTTTCTCTGAACCTAAAACTTTGTAAAGATTTTTTTTCCCTAAAAAAGAAATGTTATTTAATTTCAAAGGAAATCAACTATAAATGAGGAGTGGAAACAAAACAATTACTTTGTAGATATTTGACCTGAGATAGAGCCAATATCTTTATGAAATTCAACTGAAGGAAAATAAATTTTATAATCAGATAATACACATACTAAATAAAATTTGAATATATCTCTTCATATCTCACAATCCCGAGACTTCCATCATCATCATCATAAATAATAAATAAAAATAGTGGTCACAAGTCAGGTGTGATGTTGCACACCTTTAATCCCAGCCTTCAGTAGGCAGATATCCATGAGTTCAAGGCCAACCTGGTCTACAAAGCAAGTTCCAGTACAGCCAGAGCTATTACACAGAGAAACCATATCTCGATAACCCCCAAAGAAAATAAAATACTGCTCACAACTTAATTATTTCTAGCCAGAGGCCAGATTCTGTATATAAAAATATATAATGAAGTAATACCACTAGTGCTTATTTTCCATGCTTTCAACCTCACTAAGAATTAATCACATTTATTATGTACCAGGTACTTTCCTAAGTGTATTACATGTACTTATTTAATCCTCTCAATTACTTATGAGAGTGTCATTATTAATACAGTTATAAATATTAATAACTGAGGAGAAATTTAAGTAGCCTCAAGCTTCATATCCTTCCAGAAAAGATTACAGCTTGGAGGAGGGGCAAGTATCTTATGCAAAGTCCTCAGAAGTCTTCCCTTGAAGCCCACAGCTGGCACCGAGCCCCCATGCACCCTGACTATGAGGAGATCCCAGAAAACAGGAACATAGAAGATGTGCCAGTGGAGGGGAGGGCACAGAAATGGCTTTAGTGCACGTAGCACAGTATTACTAACTAGTACTTTCTAACAAGCTCCTCTGACAAGGTACCCATGTTATTTCAAAAGATTCTATGGGTCACCTGACCTTCACTAGAGCCAGGTAGTCTTGTCTAAGATTCCTAATGTGTTTGTAGAACTTTGCTGCATCAGAGAACCATAGGGAGTCCTAGACCAGTCTTGTCTGAAGTATTTCTCCTGAGTCCTTTTTATTTACTTTTGCTCCTGGGCTCCAGAGACAGATATGGATGCTACTGTGCTGTGGTGAGGCCCTGAATCCCAGCATCTTGGGTGTACCAGTCCCAGGTATGGTGTCTGGTAGAGAAGAAATTCATCTTTGTGGCTAGAGTCAGATAATTTCATGTTAGGGTTGGTACTTTTAGTGGGTGGGGCAAACTTAGAGCCAGCTCACTGTCAAGTTGCTGCTGCACATAGACCATCATAACGTATATGAAGGACACCCCTGAGAGTTCTTTGCTGACCTTGTTGCCCAATCAATGGGAACATGCAAGTCAATTGTTGCTGGGGTGGAGGCATATTATAAAAACACACTGGTTTTGAATATTCCCCACAATTTGAAAACTTAGGCCAACAACCCTACAATACATATTTTGCCTATCACTTATAGATTTGTTTGTTTTTTGTTTTTTAATTATTAGAGATAAACTTGCCCTGCTGCCTAGGCTATCTTTGAATTCTTGGGCTCAAGTGATCCTCCTGCTTCATCCTTTGCTGTAAGAACCAGTGAAACAAAAAGTAGGTGCTTTCTGCAACCCACTGGATAAAATGTTTTCCTCACTTCCAGACAATGGGCACCATTTCTTTCTTTCTCAGTGCTATCCACACCATCATTCCCAAGTGGCCTGTGACTTTGGTGCCTCTGCTTGGTCAACATACTTTTGGTTAGCTTTCAGCATTTGATGTAGAAGTAGTCTGAAAGAAGAGACAGGGCCAAACTCATACACATTAAATGAACTGTTCTTGGATGTAGATATGTGAAAACAGAGAATGAAAATAATAAAGTAAGATAATCCCAAATTTGTCAAGAGTGTGGTCAGAAATCCCCAAGCCCTCTGTCTTGGCTGACACTATCAAAGGAGAACAGTCACTAATAAGCATGCTTGTTGTCATAGAGGTCTAGATCTACTACCATCTATAATATGGTCAGCATGTCCAAGTCTTGGAGAGAAAGAATGTGACTTCCATTTATTCAGTTTAACAGATCGGAGATGGCAAGGGGCATTGTAAATTACATGGCATTTGTGGAGGCCGGGGGGGGGGGCAGGTAATGAGAAGACAGATGGGTGTTGCTGGAAAGGGTAAGATCTGCTGAGAGAGTATGAATGGTACATCCACTGGGAACATCCATTGGATGTCCACTGTCCGTATTGGACATCACATTTTCTCTTTTCAGTTGCTGTTGCTATGTCACCTCTTTAGAAATCTTAGTTTGAAACCAAATTAAAATACAACTCCCATGTATTGCTGTGGTATATGGAATAGGAAATGATCTTGAAGTCTGTTCTGGCCCATCTCTCTCATTTTAATAAGAAATGACATTTAGAGAGAAGTGGAAAATACCCAGTGTTCTGTAGAAACAATTTTAAGGACTACAGTTGTTTGCTTTTCTTTGACAGACATAAAAATATGTAACACATGCTGTGTATGATTCTTTCAGGCTGATGGAAATCTAATAATAACCTAAGAAATCCCCACTGTACTTTTCTGATTTCTATGCCAGCCACACCACCATTTCCATATAGAGGGTTTAGAAAGTTCATTTATGGCATATATTGAGTTTGAGAAATCTATTAGGCTATCTAGCCCATAGGTGCATTTTGAATATATAAATCTTGAGATAAAAAGGAAGTTCAGACGTGAAATTATAGTTGCCATAGTCCTTAAAAGTCAGCACATGACTCAAAGAAATTATTGGACCGAAAAGTAAGGTTAGAGTCATGAGGACTGAGGATTGAGTTCTCAGCTTCCACTTCATCAGTAGCCAAGGCAAAGAGAATTACAGAGTTCAACAAGGTGAGTGTTGAGTCAAGAGAAATCCAAAACACAGCCCTGGAAACCAGGATATGGGAGGGTTTCTAGGAGAAGCGATGATGGTCTGTGTCAAATGCTGTGGGCAGAGTGAGATGTAAGCTGAGAACCTATCACAGGCGTCAACAAGATGGAGCCACGCATGATCTTAAGTAGTGTTATTTTAATGGGGTGGCGGAAAGAAAGCTTGGCTGTATTAAGCAAAGGAGAACAGCAGAAAGGGCTTGGAGAAGTAAATCTAGTAAGGAGGTCCATTGCAAATCTGAAAAGAGGAATACATCAGTAGCTAAAGGGAGAAGTGTGGAATGAAGTCCTTGTTCTGGATTTGATTTGTAATAGCAAATACACATGATAATGATTGGAGTGACAGTAGACAGAATACACTGATAACAAGAGGAAAGGGAAGAGAGAAGAGTTAGAGAGATGCTGCAATGTCCTTGAATACATGAGTTCAAAGAGAATACAGAGTCCTGCCCAGGAGATAAGGAACTGGCCCATTGATGAAAGGGTTAATCTCTCTAGCAAATGGGAAGGCAGACATTGTCTCCAGGACAAGAAGAGAAAGAATGTATAGCTTGAATGCTGGCATGGTTCATAGGAATGATGGTTTCTAACATTGAAGAATTTTGAAATATGTTGTGAGGAGGCAACAGTAAGGGAAATTGTAACAATACAGATGTCCACTTACCTCTAACATGAATCACAGGAAAGTTTTAAGAGTCCCTCCCATTCTCTTCCCCCAAACAATTAAATATGAATATTTTAATATCATATTTTAGACTTAGTGTAATTGTCTTTTTTCTTTCAGGAAATAAGAAAATAACCATCATATCATTTTAGTATTATTTCCCAGAAGTTCCATGTTTTACCTTCAACACATTTGCATTTTTGCCATTACTATTTATACTGCAGTGACAACAAGCAGCTCACTTGGACATGCTACATTAATGGCCTGTCAACCCACCAGTACCAAGCCCCGTGGGGAGCAGAGGAAGCCTTGGATGAACATAGAAAGAATGAGTGAAGTCCTGAGTAAGTGTGTATTATTTGACATGAGCTCACACTGTCAAAAACCAAGGGCTCAGACCCATGGGAAATTCACAATGCCTTTTGTTTGAATCAGGCTGGAAAGACAAAAAGTCTACGTACTAGTGTTTGGACACAATTGGCCAGGGTGAACAGAAACTGGCAACCACATCACAGCTTCCTCCTCCCTGTATTTACAGCCTGAGACTGTCAGCCTGTAGAGACCTCCTACGGAGACTATGTAATTCCTTTGTCTTCGTGATGTACACAGGAAACTAGCTGAGGCTTCAGGATGCTTTGCAGTTGGTTCCACTCTATGAGACTGTATAAAATGCACCTGGTCCCAGCTTTCTGGGGTATGTGTCTGTCGTTTCTTTACTGTGTATCCTCTCTTCATCCCCTTGCTGCTCTTAGTCTGGTCAATTCTAACCCATGCTAGACACAGCGAAATCCAGGTAGTTTCATATTTTAATTAATATGAAAAACATTAGTATTGTGTCTCTTACAAAAACAAATGTAGTGCTTAACAGCAACAATGGCAAAAGTGAGCACCTTAGTTTCTTTACTCGTTGCTGTGACAAGAACAGTTTAAAGGAGAATGGGTTGCCGGGCGGTGGTGGCGCACGCCTTTAATCCCAGCACTCGGGAGGCAGAGGCAGGAGGATCTCTGTGAGTTCGAGGCCAGCCTGGGCTACCAAGTGAGTTCCAGGAAAGGCGCAAAGCTACACAAGAGAAACCCTGTCTCGAAAAACCAA